TGTACACTACTGGGGTAAGTTTATAACTTGAAATGTGAACCTTTTTTTTTTAGGGTTAAGAACAAACTATATAAATGTTTTTAAAAAAACGTTTTTAGAGTTCTGTTTCCAAACATGCTAGTAGTTTAGTTATCTTTAGCTGCTTTGTATTTGAAAGGCTTTTTAGATCCTGCTCCATTTACAGTACATTCTTACAATGTATGTAGTAAATAAAGCTTTCTTTAAAGCAATTTCAAGACTTCATTTTAAATATTGTGGGCTATTTCGTTTTTGTTTTTTAGTATCGATTTTCTTTCCCCCCAAATATAGGAAAACCCTTACAGTGTGGAAGGGGTTTAAATTGTTAGTTATCAGTGTCCTCTGACTTTGGCTCAGGTGGTGGAAGGTTGAACACTCAATAGATGTGGCAAAGCTTGTCACTGCTCTCGATGCTGAAGTTTATGATCCCGAGAGCATTACTCTCAGACCTCCAGATGGAAGCACTCGATAAGACTTTGAGTTCTTTGGAGGTCTCCTGCAAGTGCTGGGGTGACCTTGATGTTGGTTACTACATCAAAAACCAAAGCCTTTTTGGTTCTTTGTTTCCCAGTGCACAATGGGATTAATGGAACACTTCTTTCTCTTCTCTAGAGATCATCACTAACTTCAGATAGTACCTGTCAGCAAAGCCAAGCAAGTGACTGGACAGAAAGTGACTAATTGTCAGTGGAATTAATGTGTTTCTCATAATTGCTCTACATGGCTTTGCTGGTGATTAAGAATTTTACCTTAACTTGGAACATTGTGCCGTGGCTTCCCAGTCTGCATTTCCTGGAATCCTAACTTCCTGCTTCCTCTTAAATATATAAGGGCCTTTTTAGAACAGGCCTGGAAGCTTCCCAAGAGAACAAATGATTAGGCAGTATTTTTAAGGGCAGCAAGATAATGCTGAACCCTTTTTGTTCGAGGAGAAAAAGTACAGCCGCCCTTAGAAGTCACACTTGGAGTTAAATTAGTCTCCTTAGAAAAGGCGTTACTAATCACACAAAATAGGTATCACGCCTCTGCCAGGTGCCAGGTTGTGTCTAGGAGCCAAGCTTTGTTCTCGCACTCATGGAATTGAAGATATAGTGGGAGGAGGTTAGCAGTCTGCTGGGGAGGCAAGTGCTGTGCATGTGTAATGCACTAGGCTCTGGCTCCGTCATTTCAGAAGCACCACGTGGTAAATATGAAGCCAACAGTGGCTCTGTGGCCAGCCAAGGTCACACAGCTGGTAGGAATCAGGACTCCAAACTGTACTCAGACTCCAAGCACTGGATTCCAGCTGCTGACCCTGAAATTGGGTAAGCCTAGTCTTTAGGAAAAGATAAACTTATCTACATGAGCTTTTAGTGTGTTTTCACATGCACGTTGGGGAATGGCACTAAAGGGAGGAATGCTAAAAGTGCATTCTCAGCCTGGACCAAGTAGCAGAAGAAGTCAGGCTGGCAAAGATGTGTGCCCCAGAAGGTTTAAGGAATCCTGGGCACAAGACCCCCTCCTGAAGAGTACGGAAGAAGCACACCAGCTGTCCATCTGGGTTCCTTGGTTTGGTTCCTGGGGCCAGAGTCAGGGCCTCACACATGCTAAGCACCCACTCTACCACTGAGCCACAACCCCAGCCCTCTACTGCACCCTTCTTAGTTCTTCAGTAGCTGCTCCACTTTTTCTTCCAAAACTATCTGTCATGGCAAAATCCATAAGCATTTATTTAGCAGAAAGAACAATTAGCACAGTCTGACTTTTTGTGTGTGTATTACTTTAATAATTATATATCTTATTGTAAAATTTTCTGGGCACTCAAGCTCTATATCAGAGTTGTTATGTTATTTTTCTAATCATGTGGAATGTGTCATTTTGCCATGGCTATGTCAATGAAATGACACTCTGACACTGTGACCCTAAAAACAATTAAATTTTCAGTTTTTAAAGAATAACTTAATAAGATGACACAGATATACTCACTTTGTCCTTGTCCTACCTCTTTCTTGGTGTACTGCCCATTTCTGACTCCACAAGGTCAAAGATAGGGTTAAATTTAAAGATAGAAAAAGACTTGGGCCATCCACGGTATATTTTGCTTTGATTCCAAGGTCTAAGCATTCAGACTAGATACAGTTCTTTCTCCTTTTTTCTCTCATTAGTCTTCACTTTCTAGGTACCCAGTGTTGCTCTGATTTCTAATTCTGAGTGCCAAAAACCTGGAGAAATGTGATTACCCAAATTCTTACCTCTGTGGGCAGGCACTGTGGCCTATGATCCAGTCTGCCCCTGAAGTCAGAAGGTCTAGGGGCCCTCCAGCTTTGCTGCTTAGCAGTCATGTGGCCTTGGAAAAGATACCTCTTCTGATATCCTAACTGGTTAGAGATAAAAATGCTCATAAGTTATCGTAAAATTCAAATGAGTTCATGAATCCTAAAAAGCCTGATATGTCATAGGCACTTTTCTAAAAGGCAACTTTCGTCCCCTTCCCCTTTTGAACTATAGTGTGAAAGCATTCCTCTATATTAATTCCAGCAAGCCTTAAATTTTAAGCCTGGTGCTGGTGATGGAACCCGGGACCTTGCATGCTGGGCAAGTGCTCTACCACTTCGCCACGAGCCCAGCCCAATTCTTTGTATTCCTTTATTCTCCCATCCATTCAGAAAACATTTGTTGAGTGTCAACTCAGTGCTAGCACAGTGAAAGACATTAAAATAAGTGACCCTCTCTCTGCCCTCCAAAAACTCCTGGACAGTATCTTATGGTAGACGGCTCACCTGGACCTGGGGGAGAAGGGCAAGAAAGCTCTGGAAAGAAGTGGCATCTGCACAGCGATCTAGGAAGGAGCAGGGAGGAAAGAGGACAAGTAAGGCTCGAGCCCAGGGGAAAATGACATGGTTTCCTCAAGTGCCTGACAGCAGCTCAGCAGGGTTGCCCCAAAAGAAGAAGAAAAAGGGAGCAAAGAGGCTCCATCTTTATTCATCCAACAGTCAACGGAGTTCACAGCTGTGCATTCACCACGGACATTAAAAGTCATCTGGTCTACCATACCTATCACCAT